TATGGCTGATCATGTCAGTTCCGGTAGTATCGTACATTTCAGGAGCCTTAGAGCCCTTGTATAGGAAATCTTCTTCCAGAAAGCAACAGCAGAGGTCAACCTTCGAAATTCGATAGATAAATTCTGTGACGGCTAACCTCAAGTGATGTGTAGTAGTCAAGTAAAAGTAGAAGATCAAAGGCAGTTGGCACGATGGTTTCCTACTTAGCCTAAAATGCTAGTAGGGCGCTGTATAGTGGGGAAATGGCGAAAGAACGGAGTGAAACGGTCAAAATCCTGCGAAGAAAAAGCCTCCGTTCTCAGTGACTTGTAAATCGATTTCGGACGAGTTTCCCGTAGGCATCTTACCAATCACCGCTACCGAAGATACGGCTGCATATGTGTACCCATGTATGCATGCAGCATCACGGCCGCTTCATACCAATCCCTTCGCTTCATAATTTGCTTAGCAAATGAATGAATACGAGCGTCAGGAACGGTCGTCCATTTGTGGGCGGGCGTTTGGGACGTAAAGTTGTGGCTTGATAGGGCCCTTATAAGGGCACCTTCCTCGGGGAAACCGCTATGCAGCGCCTGCCCAGGGTCGCGGAATTCTATCCTGCCAGGAGTATTGATCCTAGTCGTCTTGGGGGATTTATCGTGCCAACTGCCTTTAAGTTGACATGTGAGGCAGCGTTCACACTTCGCGATTGCATGAACGATTGGTGCCATTGTAGTGAACGCGGATTCGCATCCAAGCGCGGCCCGGCACTCAGGGTACAGCATCGTGATGTGTAAAATGGTGGTGTCAGTACGCCCCCCCCCCTCTCTTCGAACGATCTGCCTGCTCGCCGGCCGAGGGAGGCTACTGACACCGCCCGCCGCCCGCCGAGGGAGGCTTTCCGGTCAGCAGATAAACTGAGGCCCTCATAAAGACAATATAAGTGGAGTCACAGCCCCTAGGTGTTGTACAAGATGTATTCGGCCATCTCAATTTCGGTCGGCGAAAATGTAAACTATCCTTTCATTCTATAAACCACTAACTTTGTGTGTCGGTTTGTATGTTTGTATGTATGTAGGTATGTAGGTATGTATGTATGTATGTATGTCCGTCCGCAAATGCTTCACGGGTTTGAGTTAGCGGGAGGAGAAAACGACCGCTAGACAAACCGGTAACCGATTGGTGCGGATGTATCAATCCAATGTTTTGATTGTGATAACAGCCTCTGCTATATATTAGGTCATCCCATTCAAAAGTGCCGTCTTTTTCATTTGAATAAAACAAAGAAGAGAATAGATAAAAAAGCAATATATTGGCTTCAAGTTGAGTAAATCCCTCTTTCACCAATGACCCGCTCCCAGTGCCCCGAAAGCCTTTGGACCCTCTGGTACCTTCGATTTTTTCAACAAGTGCGAGTAAAATTGCTGTTTCGATGCCACTATTTCGTGGCCGATTGACGAAACATTGTTAGCGTTCCCGTTTCTGAGAGTACTCCGACTGCCGAGAACCCTGGATCACTCGCTTCATGTGGGGGATGGGCATTGAACCCAGGTCTCAGTATTGTTTGTGACCCAACACCGCCCTACAATACATTTACTCGGGGTCTGGCACTATGACGAGCAACCTTCTGGCCTGGTGGCCTTCTTGCAGTGTTGGTATCATCATTTGATCTGCATTTGCCAGGAAAGGCTGATATCAGCGAGCAGCGTACGATTCTATTTGCGGAATAGAGTGGCGCTAGAGCACCAATGTGTAGGAATCTTTGTATTTTGATGAGCATCCACTTAGTCGCCACTTACTTCGGCGCGTCTCATCTGCCATTCAACATAAATTACGTATCCGTGGGTTTTGATCACTTAGGCCAGACTACCCATATGTTCATGCTTAGGGGCGGCGTACTTCTTACAGTTGTGAATGACATCTCATGCCGAGAACATTACTGCTAGAGGCAGAGAATAGGTACTGCGTTCGTGCTTCTACAAGAAAATTAGGTACCCATGCGCACACTCCTGCCTGACCATGCTCTGGTATTATCGACATATCGGGCAGCAGTTGCAGCTGGGATGTCAGACTCGCGCGGAAGCTCGACAAAGGTCCGGGCTCTGGGATCAGACATTCAGCGCTTGACTTCATCCACCCTTTTTTCTTGTGGCAGGATGAATATTACGTGACCATCCTTTCTTCCTTCATCGGGCTTCTGAATCGAACTCCAACCTTGTCATATATCGAGAACACCATTACACACAACTACTGGTACGGCGCCGGTCGAATTCGAGCAAGAGCACTTCCCTTTCATGACATCTGATTTGAAAATCAGGCGCTGATTTTCACCACTCGGGCTTCTTTTCATTTCTCGAGGTTTTCTTCTGCACGTAGGTTCGCCAAAATTTATATGCACATAAAGGAAACTAGCCGTCCAAATGGTGTTATGCTATGCCACGCTTCCCTAGCCCTCTTTGTTTCTGCATCTCCCATATGTCTCGGCACTTTTGAATGGGATGACCTAAGACAACCATTCGGTACACTCCTGCCATTGCGCGAGCTGCGCGCGTGGCAACTGTACGTGTGCTCCTGTAGGGGCAGGGTGGTGTGGAACCGAAAACTGCAAGTTATTCAATAGTAAACTAACGAATACTAAGAGTGTGATTGAATGGCATAAGAGAACAGCCATCACCCATACAAGGCAGCCATTTTGGTAAACCCAAGCCACTGCTCAAGCTGCTCGCGTGGCAGCTGGATGTGCGTGGGTTGCTCCGTCTATTACGCTTCCTTGAAATTCCGCAGTATGAGAAGCTAAGTGAATGAACAAATTCGTTTCCATCATGACGTGTCTTGGCGAAGCCAAGCCAGCTAAAGATAATGAGGAGAGCTCGGCGTCAGCCGGGCGATCCGACTGGTTGCATGAATAAACTACATAATTATATTACAAACATCAAAATAATACAAAATAAAGTATTTATATACAAATATTATAAAAATTAGTACCAGACCACCTGTATTACTGTGAAAAGTTGGACGTCGACCATACTCCGCGCATAAACCTCTCAAGGAAGGGAAGTAGCCCCTGGACGTGGCCCGCGCTGCGATCCGAGCGCAAAATAGCGATGGGGCGTTGACTGTTGACAAGGGGAATCGCGTTGCGTATTCCGAGCTTAATCACTTTTTCAGGAGAAGGGCTCTCGGGAAACGGAAGACAACATGTTAACGTCATCTCTGTACTGTTCCGTTTTCTACCTACTCGCAATCTGCCTCTTCTTCCGTTCATGAAATATGAGTTACGGATGGGTTGGTAGTGGATCGCGGGCTGGTTTCCATGCTTCAGACGAGGATAACTTCTTTGAAATGCAAGTCTTCCCAGAAATAAAACCGGCATCAGGACGCTCAACTTTTTCTCTTTCCAACAAGCTCTACAGTTCTCCTGAAGACCCGCTAGTTCAGAAGATATTTTAGATGGGTTATCCTCGCGCGAGGTTCTTAGCCACACAAAAGCTTGACTCTCTCCGTGCTATGGTAAAGATACTCATTCACGAACTTCGAATGCCCTTAAAACTGTTACCGTTGAAATGAGTCAAAGCATAATTTGCTTGTCATCGATCGATTTGGTCCGAGTGTGCGCCGTGCATTACGCTTCTACGCAGAGGTGGTGGAAAGGTGTAACTTCTAATTTTAGGTGATTTTGTCCATGCAAGCAGATGTTTGTTTAGGGTTTGTAAAGGTCGATACGCACGAATCTATTTGAGATGTATTATTAGTCATCTACGTGGCGGTTTTTTTTATATTTTGCAGTTTTCCTCACATCTAGGTCCTCTGCAGCTTTCTGTCCACTCCATTACTTTCTGTCCGCTAAATTAAACTTAGCGTTGCCACTTTTGTGCTGTTTGGTGCTCACCGACCATGCGTTTACGACTCCCTCCCCTTCCCCAGTGGCCAAGTACGACCCCCCCCCCTCCTACATGGGTTTCACACATAACGATGCTGTACCCTGCCGGCACTACTTCTTCGATCGCTCTAGAGAAATCCACATTTATAGAGTATTTTCTTGATTAATTGTAGGTAACTCCACGATCACGGCCATCTGAATAGCAGAAAAATTTGGGTTGAATCGGGGAAGAGTTTGTTCTCTTTTTCTCACAGAAATGAGAATATGGAGAGATTGGATCTCTCAAGAGGCTAGGTTAGCGGTTGGATTCTTATTAGTCCTTATTTCGATTGCTCGACCCAATGTCCCCTCCTCTCTCAATGATTTTTAATTGAACTGTTCGTAACCCCTCCTTCTGATATGCTCCCGGAAAATTTTAGTAGTAGAAACCGAGAGCTCTGACAGACTGGGTAGCAGAGAGTGGGACCCCATCTAAAGTGTACGCGGACGATGGTCAGATGCCGGAGTCGAACTTTCACATGTAACTGTCTACTGTGAAGCTACTGGCAACTGCCACTTCTTGGACCAGTCGACTGTTACATCTATGGCCTTTTGCAGGACCAGATAGTCCGTATTATGCGAGATCGTCTTATAAATTTTCAAGTCATCAGCATATACTTTAGCTATGACTCCAGCTTCTCTGAGTATACCAGGAAGTTCGGCAGTGAATATGTTAAAAAGAACAGGTGATAAGACACCACCTTGGGTACTCCGCCATTAGGCAGCCTGTTTAAATTGCAGGTAGGACTGGTCACTTTGAACCTGGACAGGTCCTGCCCGAAAGCATATTCTTGGATCATCCCACTTTCTGAGAAAGGAGATGGAAACCCGGACCTCCTTAAGTCTAGAAAGATGAGTTTCCTTATGGTGAGACTCTTATTTCAAATGCTTGTCGCAAGTCGAAATATACACACGTACGCCAAGAACACTTATTATAAACGGTTACAGTCCAGTCATTCAGACATCAATCATATTGGTTTCAACAGAGCGACCAGGAACAAATCCATGTTGATGATTGGAGATGATATGATTGAGATGGAGATGACCGGATTAGATCTGGTTTCTCCAAAGCACATTTCTCCAAAGAGTATTCAAAACAAGGATGTTTGTTGACGACTATGACATTTTTCGGACTGGAGAAGGCTCCTCTTCAGAATGGGTATAACACAAGGAGTGTCCACCGAGACGCGAAACCTCAGCCTTGGAGTTGATTAGGACGAGATTTTGCAAGCCGTCGTCCACAAATAACTGGAGCCGTTTTTTGCACTATTATGAAAGGCACGAAGTCAGGGGTAACGACGAAAGATACAGGCCACTTGATGATCAGGTCTACAATGCAGAAAGCGCTGCAACTCAAAAGAAACTCTTTGCATAGGTATCAACATTAAGAGTAAACATTAAATCAGGGGTAAGCTGCAACATCATCTTTCTGAAAAGACCTCCCAAAGTGTTCAGCTAGCAGGTTGGCTTCATCCATGGGAGACGCTGCTATGATATTCCCTTGCCGCAAGCAAGCGATACGCTGTATGTCCTGAATTCTTTCACTTTTAGTACCCATATAGGAACATCTAACATAGCGCGGACTCAGTGATTCTCTCTCTCCAGATAGCACTATTGTACTTTTTGAGATGGGCGAAGAATTTCATTGTGAAGGTATTGTACTTATCCCATCTTTTCGATCGCCTAGCTTCACTGAACAAACATTCACGGTGCTCCCACATATTTTGCAAGTGCTTAGAAAGATAGATGGATTTGGTGCAAGGGAACACTCTTCCAAAGGTAACAAGAACATAGATTCGGCATTGTGTAGAACAGACAAGAGCAGCTCGTACTTCTTATTCAAAGAGTCTCTGGAGCAAGGGAACCCAATGTATTTGTGAAAGACTACGATTTAGTCCACTAAAGTTACATCTGGAGTACATACGCCGATAAGTGTAACTATGACAGGTAGTTGAAACATGAGATTGAACGAAATGCTATTATTATCACTAGCTCCTACCGGAGAAACCACAGTCAAGCCTTTGATCAAAAACGGTGCCCTAGAGAAATCTTAAATCAAGTATGCTACCTTCCGCTAGTTGGGCTTCAGCCAATGTGTTGTTCGAGATTATGACATAGAGTGAGTTCTTTCAAGGACGGATACTAATGATGATCTGGAGAGAGCTTCGCTTTCCTGGTAAAACTCAGGTAGATTGAAGTCAGCCGCAATATTACTGCACTCTCTCTCGCATGATACTAGATCACTAAGAATCTTGAAAAGTAACTCAGAGTTCTCACTCGCTGTTGGCAAGAAGGTTGCTCTGGTTACAATAATAACTAAGGTGTGCAGGACCTTCTTTACATCATATCCGCTACGCAAAAGACCTCAAAGGCAATCCAACAACTGACTCAGCAAGGTATCAGGATAGACGACCCTACGTGTGCCGCAAAACAGGATAACCCTCCCTACAGTTCTTTAGTCGACTGCATCTGAACACATCATAATTATCAACAACATCTGCCAGAAGAGAAAACAGCAAATGATCTGTTTTCAACCATGACTTCGAAAAGGCAAAAATATATCATGGATCCAACTTATATCAGGGTAGAAGGGTCCGGCGTTCTACGAGACTGATCTCACACTGGAAAAAAAGAAAGTAAGTACGTGACTATACAGCGGAAAATTTCTAGGTACTCTCCGTCCACTCAACATGGAAAGAACTAGATGACGCTGCTGAGACTTGAGCCGGCACTTGGCACTACCCCACCATTGTCGATAGGTGCCAATGTGCCATCGCTGTTCGCAGTCATGCGATTGCAATTACGAGTCTTCGTTTCCTCTGTTCTGGGGTAAGGGACCTCCCTTAAGTATATAGATTCCCTTCCTAGAAGTTGCGAAGGTGAGGGGCTCGTTTCACAGCTAGTTGTTGAAAAGTTCGAGATGGTAGCACAACTTTGAGCAATCTGTCTTTTCCTGATTGAGGCCTACCTAGAGGATAAACTTTTACTGGGTTGCACTCAATACTAAGAAAATCAAGTACGTTACAAACATTAGCATAATCATGTGACAGCAACCGTTCTTGTAAATTTTGAGACTTCAGTTCTGGTACTCCGCTGATAACCAAAGATCGTAATCTCTCTACTTCATGATAAGGCAATGCTGATTTCTCATTTTCATTTGTCGATGGCGGTAGAGACGGTTTACCACGATCACGAAGTGTTCCGAGCTTCTATGGCAGCAATATCATTAGCATTACTACTGTTCAACTGTGAATCACGAGGCAGTTCTTCACGTAAGTGTTTCAAGCTCTCGCCTGAGTCCAGCGTTCCCTTCACGAAGCGAGTACAGCTCCTTTGTGACCACTTTCTGAACCACTTTCTTTATACCGTCAGCTATACGACTGGATTTGGCGATTGCCGCAACCTGCTCCTGTAATTCTTTGGGCATTAGCACCTCATTCTGGTCCACTGCCAACCGTCTGCTGTCCACTCTCTCCTTCGATATGCGAGTTGTTGTTTCTATATCGCATTTAATACAGCGTAATAAATAGGTATAGGTCCAATCAGATAGGGCACCCCAAAATAAAGACGGAGGAATAAGATCAGATCAGGATCGATCAGACATTTGCGGGGGGGGGCGGGCGCGGTGAGCGTCCGGGTCGGTATATTGCAGCTCGATGGAGCCCTATAAGGGTACCTTTCTTAGGAAAGGGGCCACGCAGCGTTTGCTCAAGAGGAGCCGAATTCTGTCCTGCTAGGTATATCGATCCCACACGTCTTGGGTTTTATCGTGCCAACTGCCTCTCATTGGCAAAGATCCGGCTCGCATACATCACCAGGCGCACAGCAGTACAAGAGGACGAAAAGTCTAGAAATGCAAGCTTTCAGCTATTCAGGCAGACCCGATTCCCAGGTGTCCACCAAGTCGAGCGTGGAAGCTATTGTATTATTCGCCATCCGTCCATTGAAGAGGAGGCGTTGCGATAGTCATGGAAAAACTCCAATACTACCTCACTAACCAAGTGAAAAGCAAACTCACTGAGCATATTCCGCGCTGCTTTTGAAGAGTAGTTAACGAAAACCTCATGAACTATGCATGCTTGAAGCTACGGTTAGGACAGAGCCTACTAAGATGTTTATATAGCCCTTTCTTTTCTGACTTTTTGATTTCATTTTTTCGGCATTCCCAGAGACGCATAGCAAAAATGAAACATTTTTATTATCCCTGTATGAGCCCCCACAAAACGCAACAGACGATTTCTAAAAAGCGCGCGACGACCTACCTTGTAAGTTAGTTTTGCGTTGTACTTATATGAGCTGTACGTATTACCTTGTTTCGTCAATGTTGCATGCTAGTCGGTATGTTTAGCCTTCACTCTCCATCCGGGCTCAGAATTTTACAATTTTATTAGAATGTAGAATTTTACAATTTTTTAACAATTTTGTATTCGTGATAACTGTGAAGAAAAGAGCTCGCATGAGCTGTCAGGTCTCATATGTGCTTTAATAACGCATTCAGGTTGAACGAACAAGATAGAGCGGTCATCCTTGGCATCTTTGATTAGCTAGTAGAGTGAATGACTGGGTAGGGATCATTTTCTCACAAATTTAATCTATGGCAGCATCTCCGCACTTAGGAAGATTTGACTTATTTGATGCTATTACGTAAAGAGCACATCTGACTTCATTTAGCCTCATCCGATAGGCAATCCTTTTCTATTACTGTAACAGACACGGCTGCAATCCTTTCTACCACTGTAATAGACAAACGGAGCATTAATAAAGTAAGGGAGTGTTATGAAAAATGACGCCTATATCCTATAGACACAACTCTGCCGTGACCAACAGATTTCTCACAAAATGAACGACTTGGTTATCGATGTCTTCTACCACACTGATCAGATGGGACGGAAAAAATAAAGCGAAAACTCTTAGTTCGCCTGAGTAGATATGAGCTTGAAGGCGGTCTAAGCACACCTTCTCCGTACTGGGCGTGCGAGGAATTTTCTTAATTTCCTTTCTAATTTCTTGTTTAACATGGTCGGTATGCATGAGACGGTATACATGAGACAGTTCCGTCCTCTAAAATGTAATCCTGCTTTGTGGTATGATTTCCAAGAAGTAAAATACTTTACTAACGACTCAACTATTACAAAACAACAAAAAGAGTTTTATGCAATATCATGAACAATGAGATACTTTCAACAGCAATTCAACATGGTATTCCCGAATACAGGAGAACCTTCAATAGCGCGTTCTCTACGGACAGGTAAACTCAGAGCTCGGTGACCGCAAGTCCGAGAGAAGAAGTGATATCTCATCCTACACTTCACCAATGGAGAAACATTTATACCCTCGATTTTTTTTTCGTCGCAGCTATTCCTCCCTCCACCAAATCACAGCTTTCTTCACTCTGACGGCTTTTCTCGACAGCCATCCTTCCCACACAAGATAAGACATTTATGCATAATGATAACTAAGAACCTGAAAAAAGCTGAAAAAACTTAATCTGTAAATGGAACCTAGATGTCGCTTGTAAGTCACTCTCTCTATTCATATCTTCGTATTCATCCCTTGAACTATTGTTGGGAGCAGAATTTCTTCTTCATTCGGAATGTGCTGAGACCGGGACGCTTGGGACATCGTACAAGCAGAAGAATCAGCTGCGAATTGTCGTTCAAAATGATTGCAATGAACAATGAAACAGGGAGGAAACATCAACTCACCGGCTCGGAGCATGTAAACAATCGCACGATGTGCCCGCTTTAATGTTATCCGAACAGGTTTAGAAGTTTATTTCAAAGAGGCAATTATAACATAGCACGCATAGTAGGTCCCTTTCTGTTACGTTTTCGTTGTCAGGCAGCTGCCAGGAAAGTTGCGTGGAAGTTTACTGAAAAGTGCCGCAGTCATTCGTTATGAACCATCTATGGTTGAAGTTATTTTCTTATCAACGACAATCAAAGTGGAGTGACAATAAGGAGTCGGAAGGTGTATCGAGACCGCTGGACGGCATATAAACATGGCCCGTCTTCGGGGCCTCCCTTCGCAGACTGCATGGCAATTCATCCGGTATCATTCTCATGATATCTTCCTCGATGTAATCGCGTTGCTGCCAGTTATTCTTTACACTCGTAGCAGTAATCCAGCACAGAAGATCGGACGTGAGATGATGAGTGTTCCGCACGGAATGCCTTCACTGCACCGGGAACAGAGCACTGCTTGTAGAGACAATTATTTGTTTCTTCCCCTTTTATAGTAATTGCCACAGCAGTCAATGTGGCATTACTATAAAAACCTCGCGGTTGCTGACTCATTCACTGACAGCTTCATTTCGAAATCCATGCGTTCCTCGTGCGCGCTCACTTGGGTTTCTCAGACATTGCATTTCAGCATTACATTCGGGGCAAATTAAACAGTGGGCCTGGTCCGATATTACTTCCACCGACTTCGGAGTGCATGTGTGAGGTAGGTGCTCCCTGTGACTCTTCAATGACTTTCTTTGATAATATCAGAATTTTGAAAGTTGAGCTCTTCACCTATTTCTGTCCATTTTTAG